ATACACACACGGCCAGGAACCCAGACACCACAAGCAGCCAAGAACCCAGACACACACACATGCGGCCAGGAACCCAGACACGCACATGCAGCCAAGAATCCAGACACAAACACGCGGCCAGGAACCCAGACACACACATGTGGCCAAGAACCCAGACACACACACTCAGCCAGGAACGCAGACACACACACACACGAGGCCAGGAACCAAGACACACATACACACACGCAGCCAGGAAGCCAGAAATACACACGCGTGCGGCCAGGAACCCAGACACACACACAAACGCAGCCAAGAACCCAGACACACACACGCACACGGCCAGGAATCCAGACACACTTACACACACGTGGCCAGGAACCGAGACACACGCACGCGTGTGGCCAGGAACCCAGACACACAAACGCGCGCGTCCAGCAACCCAGATGCACACGTCCAGGAACCCAGACACAAACACAAACGTAGCCAAGAGCCCAGACATACGCACACAGCCAGGAAACCAGACACACTCATGCACGAGACAAGGTATCCAGACACACACACGCGGCCAGGAACCCAGATACACACACGCGTGCGGCCAGGAGCCCAGACACACACACACAAACGTAGCCAAGAACTCAGACACACACACACACACAGACACATGGCCAGGAACCCAGACACACATGCATACATGCAGCCAGGAAACCAGACACATAGGCGTGCGTGGCCAGGAACCCAGACACAAACACATGTGCGGCCAGGAACCCAGACACGCGCACGATGACAGGAACCCAGACACGCACACGCAGCCAAGAACCCAGACACACACACGCGGCCAGGAACCCAGACACGCACACGTGGCCAAGAACCCAGACACACACAGGACCAGGAACCCAGACACACACACACACCCGTGGCCAGGAACCCAGACACACATACAAACGCAGCCAAGAACCCAGACAGACACACGCACACGGCCAGGAACCCAGAAACACTTACACACACGTGTCCAGGAACAGAGATACACACGTGTGCGGCCACAAAACTAGACAGACAAATGCGCCATGCCAGGAACCCATACACACACGCGGCCAGGAACCCAGACACGCACACAAACGCAGCCAAGAACCCAGACACATACACACACAGCCAGGAACCCAAACACACACACGCACGATGCCAGGAATCCAGACACACACGCACATGTGGCAGGGTACCCATACACACACGCCACAGCCAAGAACCTAGACACACACACACACAGGGCCAGGAACCCAGACACGCACACGTGGCCAGGAACCCAGACGAAAACACATGTGGCCAGGAACCCAGACACACGCACTCATACGTGGCCAGAACTCAGACACATACACTTACACGTGGCCAGGAACCCAGACACATGCACGCGCGTGGCCAGGAACCCAGACACACACACACAAACGTAGCCAAGAGCCCAGACATACACAAACACATGCACACAGCCAGGAAACCAGACACACATACACACACACACGAGACAAGGAATCCAAACACACGCGCACATGAGGCCAGGAACTCTGACACTCATATGCGGCCAGGAACCCAAACCCGCACACACGGCCAGGAACTCAGACACACATACACACAGGTGGCCAGGAACCCAGACACACACACGAATGCGGCCACAAATCCAGACAGACACACGCGTGAGGCCAGGAACCCAGACATACACACACGCGTGCGCGGCCAGGAACCCAGACACAAACACACACACACGCGTGGCCAGGAACCCAGACACACACATGCAACCATGAACCCAGACACATCAGGCCAGGAACCCAGCCACACACGCACAGACGGCCAGGAACCCAGACACGCACACATGCAGCCAAGAACCTAGACACACATACGTGCGAGGCCAGGAACCCAGACACACACGTGCGTGCGGCCAGGGACCCAGAAACACACACACTTGCGCGCATCAAGCAACTCAGAAGCACACGTCCAGGAACCCAGACACACACACAAACATAGCCAAGAGCCCAGACATCCACACACACACACGCACACAGCCAGGAAACCAGACACGCACACCCACCAGACAAGTAATCCAGACACATGCGCACATGCGGCCAGGAACCCAGACACTCACATGCGGCCAGGAAACCAAACACACACACGTGGCCAGGAACCCAGACACACATACACACACGTGGCCAGGAAACCAAACACACACACATGGCCAGGAACCCAGACACACACACGCATGCGGCCACAAATCCAAACAGACACACACGCGAGATCAGGAACCCAGATATACACGCGTGCGGCCAGGAACCCATACACACACACACACACGCATGGCCAGGAACCCAGACACACACAAACCCAGCCAGGAACCCAGACACACACACACACACACAAACGTGCGACCATGAACCCAGACACATCAGGCCAGGAACCCAGACACACACGTGCACAGCCAGGGACCCAGACACCCACACACACTCGGCCAGGGACCCTGACACCCACCCGGCTGGAAACCCAGACACACACACTCACATGTGGCCAGGAACCCAGACACACACGCACTTACACGCGACCACGAACCCAGACACACATGCACGCGGCCAGGAATCCAGATACACACACACACACACACACACACACGTACGTGGCCAGGAACCCAGACACACACACGCTCGCGACGAGGAACCCAGACACGCACACACCTGGCCAGAAATACAGACACACACGCAAACGGGGACAGATACCCAGACACACACACACGTGCACACGCATCCAGCAATCCAGTGTGTGTTTGTGTGGGTTTCTGGCTACCTGGCCGTGCGTGTGTGTGTCTGGCTTCCTGGCCGTGTGTCTGGGTCCCTGGCCACGTGTGTGTGTATGTGTCTGGCTTCCTGACTGCGGGAATTTTTTTTACCCAGAGAATTGTTACGGTCTGGAATGCATGGACCTGAAAGGATGATAGATGCAGTTTCGATAATAGTTTTCAAAAGGGAATTGGATAGCTACTTAAAAAGGAAAAAAATTGAAGGGCTATGGGGCAAGAGTGGGGAAGTGGGACTAGTTGTCAGCTCTTTGAAAGAGGCGGCACAGGCATGATAGGCCGAATGCCCTCCTTCTGTGTAGTAAAATTCTATGATTCTATGAGTGGGATGACTCTCTGCCCCAGTGATTGTTCTGCCTTTCCAGGTCCTACCAATGAGCCAGGCTGGCTGGGCTGGCATCATCATGCCCTGGAGTACTATAGATCTGCTTGTCTCAGGAGCTGAACTACCATGACCACCACAGAGGCTTGATTGATTGATTGATTGATTGATTGATTCTGACACTCCGTTGCCAAGTATGTCACACTGAAGCCAGTCCAGCTGCATTTTTAAGATCATGGCTGATCTGTACGTCATATCCAGTTACCCATCCTTGCCACATATCCCTTAATACCTGACCTAACACATATCTATCTACCTCCGTCTTGAAAATGTGAATGGATCCAGCATCCACAAACTTTTGGGGGAGAGAGTTCCAGATTTCCACTACCCTTTGGGTGAAAAACTGCCTCCTGATTTCACTCCTGAATGACCTACCTCTAATTTTAAGATTATGTCCCCTTGTTATAGATTCTCCCACCAGAAGAAATAGTCTATCTGTAGCTACCCTACCAAATCCTTTGTTATTTAAAAAACTTCAATCAAATCACCCTCAACCTTCTAAACTCAAGGGAATAAAAGCCAAGTTTATGCAACGTGTCCTCATAATTTATCCCCTTAAGCCATGGTATCATTCTGGTGAATCTGTGCTGCACCCACTCCAGGAACCCAGATACACAGAAACATGAAGCTAGACACACAAAGACAGGAACCCAGATACACACAGACATCCAAGACCTCAGGTCCACAGGAGTTATTTAAATTACCTCACATAAATTCAAAAGGCTCGAGAACCTATGTAAATTCACAGCAAGATGGTAGATGTAGTTTAATATGGAGGAGTTTCATGTAAAGATAGGGAATTTACACTAGGGATTGTACTCTAGGTGCCAATTCAATTGAGTTCAGATCTCCCTTATCATTATTTAAATTCTATAGTGCTCTCATCAAGCCGTATTTAGCTTTAGCTTCTGCATACAATACTTGTTGCCTTGATATAAGGGGGCTGCCTAGGCCCTAGACACAGTGCACAGGAACAAAGAGGATGATCCCCTATGTTAAAGGAATGAACTATGAGCTAGGGCTCTTCAGTCTTGAAAGGAGGCTTCTCAGCGAGGACACTATTGTGATATATAAAATTTTAAATGGGATTGAAAAAGTAAACTCAAGAGGATACTAGAGAGGACAGTAGAACAAGAGGATGCAGGTTTAGAGCAATTTCAAAACAGACACCAGGAAGTTTTTCTTTACTTAGAGGGTAATTAAAGACTAGAACAGGTTACCAGGATGTGAGGTTGAGGCAACGACACTGAAATTCATTTAAATAGCAGCTTGATGCTGTGTTAAGGATATTCTGGAGGGATGATATCGAATGGGGCAAAGGGCTTTCTTCATCTGACCTGATCTTGTGACCATCGTGAGAGCTGAGGTTTTGGTGGAGTGGGATCTCCAGTACAGTATCGACAAGTTATAACACAAACACAATCTCAGTATGCAAAGGGGAGAAAGGGGATTTGACCCCAAATTTTATTTAAGAAACACTTGGGCTGTGATGTGACAATGGTGGGAGGGCATTGTGGAAGAAGGAAATTAAATGGACCTTTGTGCCTTTATCAATTGCAGCTCAATTGTGGTCTTGTGGGAACAGCTGTGGTTCTGCCACATTATATTGTCTGCAAAGTGTAAATATAATTGGCATGGATCTTGGCAATATGTATAATCATGTAACTGCTTAGGAAACTCACCAATTTCACCATGTGGGAATAAGAGGAGCAAACACTGATGGTAAATAGAGGACTCAGCATCGGGCCCAATCCTTTCAACAGATTTGCAATGAACTGGGAATAAAATGACAGCAATGCATTTTACCTTAATGGCTTTCTCCACAATAATTTTGCAGGATCTCAGTCGTTCAAGATGTGATTCTGACATTAATGAGAAAGGCTTGCGAACTTTGGCCTCTTTTGAGATATCTGGGGCTCCTGTGGAGTAAACGTGGAGTGTATCAGCCTGGCTCAGTTGGTAGCACTCTCATCTCTGGACCAGGAGTCAGCATGCAGAGCGGCAGTGAATCCTATGTCTGTGGCTGATGTTACTAAGAGGTGACACAGGTACAGTCTCAAGCTTGTGGGTTCAAACCCCACATCAGAACTTGGAACTCATCTAGTCTAAAGTTAACAGGTATAGGTGATAGAGGTAGGCATATATACATAACTGTTTAAATACTAAGGCAGATAAACAAGTGGTGGGACAGGGGTGAGGTAATAAGTAAATCAGTCTGTCTTCACCATTCAGCTTGATTCTCTCCGTGACTTCACTGGGATTCTCTTTCTCACTTGGTTTCTGGTTTTGTGTTGCTCCCTTCACATCTGGAACTGATCAGCAAAACAGAGAACCCAGTTAAACCCAGTCACATTTGACTGACTTCTCAGTACATCACATTTAAACCATCAGGAAAACTGCAGCACAGCTCTTTGGCTGAACCCTCAGAGACATCACAAGGAAAAGACCTCAACCTGGTTCTATACATAAAAGGAATATCTTCCTCACACCATTGTAGTAGGTATCTGTGGCGAGTGATGTGCACATTAGACTCGTAGTCCTGCTGCCTCTGGCCATAGACTTCAGATTTTTGTCTTAAATTTTCAAATTGCTTAACAATTGGGCAAAATTATTTAATTCAGCCTCAATTTGAAAGTCAGTTCTTTTTAAGACCTGCAGAAATTTGACTTCCAAATTAAAACAATCCCAACCCATTACCTCACCAACACACACTGCCCCTCCTCACCCACACAATGCCAGCCTTTGTCTTTCCCCATATGTAGCTGAAATCCTGATCATGTGCAGGTAGGGTGCACATGGAGCGCTTTCCGAAAGCAGTAACTGCGCCTTATCAGGGAGTGTGCGGGCACGCATAGGGATGTGGTGTACAGAGGGGTGACTCCCCAGTGTTTTAAAGGGAATGTCCCAAAAAACGTATGCACAACCTATGTGCGGTGAAGGATTGTAAAACAACGGAATGTGTTTTGTATCGGGAAAAAAATTGTAACAGAAGACGTTGTACGTTGTGTTTGTTTTGGATTTCTATTGTACCAAATATATATTTATAAATATAATATTTCCAAAAAAAACATACCTATCTCCCTGCATCCTCCAACACACCAGTCATCGAGACACTGTGCACAGTGGTTTGTTAGGAAGAGGAAATAGAGCCATTGATGGGTTTGTAACTCCAACACTGAGGTAAACACTTTCACACAAATTCAGCAAAAAAGCATTTTATTAAAGTATTACTGTTTGTTTTATTTCAAGGTGGATATTTTCTGTATTACATTCTTTGTTATAATATTTGACACAGTGACAACTCAGCTGCTTGGTGTGTCAGCCTGACTCAGTGGTAATGCTCTCGCCTCTGAGTCAGAAGGTTGTAGGTTCAAGCCCCACATCGGGACTTGAAATCACATAGTCTAAACTGATTCTCAAATGCAGTGCTGGAGGTGTGCTGCATTGTCGGAGGTGCCATCCGTCAGATGTGACGTTAAACCAAGCTCACGTCTGCCTGCTCAGCTGGACGTTAAAAATCCCATGGCACTATTCAAAAAGAGAAGGGAATTTCTCTCCCCAATGTCCTGGCCAACAATTCCCCAAATACTCACTTCATGGCTATTTGTGTGATAATGCTGTGTTCAATTGACTGCTGTGGTTCGCCCACAAGATACATGATAAATCCACTATATCAAATGCAAGGGATATTATTACTCCTGAGGTACCGTAATGCCTCCTGAGTGACTAAAGCAGCCAGCTCCCTGAGCATATCATCTTTGCCAACGCCCATCACTAGGGATACTGGGATCCTCTTTGTGCCCCAGGATTGAGATAATAGCCCCTGCTTTGTTTTTTTTTGCCTTGCTGCTTATTGGGCTGTGTGACTAAGGCAGGAGCTTCACCTTAAATAAGAGCGTGATTAGTTGCCTCAGGGAAGCGGCAGTTGGTATATAATACGTGCCCCTGCTGGCCTCTATGCATGACATGTGCCTGCTACTGGCCTCTGTGACCTGAATTTTCTTGCTGTAGAAGCCGATCCTGTTGTGAAGGATTGCTGGTTGTGGCCCACATGGTGCAACCAGTCATCCCAGCACCCAGCAGAGAAGAGTCTGGTCCATCAGCACTAAATGTGACATCACCGTGACCTAGCTAGAAGAGGGCATGAGCCAGTGTACAACGGACGATAAGCCATGTACTAAGTGAATCCTCTTAAGGCTGCTCTGGACTTTGGAAGGAGCTACAGTCATGTTTGCCTCAACCAACAGCACTGACCTTGCTCCACTCCTCAGCTGTTGAGTGGGGTACACAGGATCACACAGCTCTGCAATCATTCCTTCAGCAGAATCAGTGCACACATTGTTTCTCTGTCAGCTATTAATTATCCATGTAACGATTCAGCATTTGCTGGAACTCCTCTGCTCCTGTCCTCTCTTCCCCCTCTCCGTGTCTCAGTGGCCTCTCCTTCTTTCAGCCTCCAGTGGTTACACACCCAGGGAAACACTCATCGCCACAGGTATTCCTACATGAAGAGGGTCACATGGCTTCTATCGCGCAATCAATAATAAAGCTCATACCAAAGTGTGTCACATCCTTATTATCAAAGCCTGTCCCTTGCAACCTCAGCACATACCCCATTATCAACATCCGAAGGTGGACAGAACATCAGTGGAGTCCTAGACTTGGAGTCAAGAGTAGAAATGGAAAGGAGGTAATCAACTCCATAGCCTAATGAGCCTCTGGGTGAGGACATCCCTTCCAACCTCCCCCAATCCTTCTAACAATCCTGAGATTGTTCCCCTGTCTAGAAAACGAGTGAGAGGATCTTGAAATCGATCCGTTCGTTAATTGGGACCCAGTGGAACCTGGCAAGGACCGGTGTGATATCCTCATAACAAATACATAAATTACATCTGTATAGTGCCTTTCACGTAAGGAGGAAGGTCCAAGATGCTGGACAGTCTGGGATTTGGACCCTAGCAGGGGCGGTTAGGATCGGGGAGCGTGGAGGCCAGAGAGTTGCTGAAGGCGCGGTCGAAGAGAAGGGTCTTGAGACATGCCTTGAAGGAGTCAAGGGAGGGAGCAAAGTGAAGGGAATGTGGGATGAAGTTCTAAAGGGTTGGGGCAGAGAGGCTGAAAGCCTGACCGCTGATAGTGGGTCGGGCCAGGCAGTTGACGTGGAGCAGGCTAAGCGGAGGGAGCGGACAGGTTGACATGGGGTTAGCAGGTCACAGAGGTAGAAAGGGGCAAGGTCGTGGTGGATCTTGAAGGTGAGGCTGAGGATTTTGAACTTTATCCTCTGGGGGATGGGGAGCCAGTGAAGTTGGGCAAGGGTGGGTGTGATAGGGTCATTGAGCCTGGTGCGGGAGAGGCACAAGCTGCAGAATTCTGAATGATCTGCAGCTTGTGGACGGAAGAGTTGGGAAGGCCGGCAACCAAGGAGTTGGCATAGTCAAGCATAGATATGATAAACGCATGAATGAGGGTTTCGGCGGCCTGAGGAGTAAGGCAAGTGGTGGAGATGGGCAATGTTGCGGAAGTGGGGAAAGGCAGAGTGGATCATGGTACGGGGTAGAAAGGACAGTTAGGAGTCAACCTACACGTCAAGGTTCCGTACTGGCTCAGTGAGGTGGATGTGCATCCATGGATGGTGATGCTGCCAGGCTGAGGTGTGGAGGCATTGACAGGAGCCAATCATCCCCTAAACTACACAGTGCCCCTTCTCCCCCATCATCATACAGTGGCCCTCCTATCATCCTATATTATACAGTGATCCCCCATCACCCTAAATTACACATTGCCACCATCACTCAACATTACACATTGCCCCCCCATCACCCACACAGCCTCCCACCCCTACACACATCCCTACATATACACACATCCCCCACCCTTACACACTCAGAACCTACACCTAAACGCAGACCCCCAATCCTACACACACAGCCCCCCAGCCCTACACACGCACAGCCCTCCACCCCTACACACACACACACCTCCCACTCCTACTAGCACTGCCCACCAACCCTACACACACAGAGCCCCCACCCCTACACACACACAGAGCCCCCACCCCTACACACACAGAGCCCCCACCCCTACACACACACAGAGCCCCCACCCCTACACACACAGAGCCCCCACCCCTACACGCACAGAGCCCCCACCCCTACACACACAGAGCCCCCACCCCTACACACACACAGAGCCCCCACCCCTACACACACACAGAGCACCCACCCCTACACACACACAGAGCACCCACCCCTACACACACACAGAGCCCCCACCCCTACACACACACAGAGCCCCCACCCCTACACACACACAGAGCCCCCACCCCTACATGCTCACGTACAGACATTAGGCCCCCCCATCCCTATACACAGCCCCTCCCCTACACACAGCCCCCCAGGGCTATCCATACTGCCAGCCCCCCTCGCCCAAAACAGCCCCCACACCAGAGGTGACTGTTCAGGAGAGCAGATTTGGAGACAGATCTAGATTTTAAGGAAGCAATGGACCTGAGCGTTGCAGAGAGGCAATCACTTAGCAGCTTGATGGCTGTATCAGGATCACTGCAGGTGGAAGGCCAGAGGGAGAAGAGATCAGTGAGGGACTCAAGGGAGGCTCTTTCCAAAGGTGGAAAAAAATGGTGAAAAATGAGAAGGTCTTGTCTGTGATGGACAAGATGTCTGTGATCACAAATGTCAAGGCTGTGAGCGATAATGAGGTCGAAGGGGCCATGGTATTGGTTGGAAAGTTTATGCGGAGAGTGCGGTTTAGTGTGGGCTCACTGTGAAGATGGCTTGTTATTGGGCTTACTGAAACCTGTATGTTGCCCATGATACTGTCCCCCTGATCGAAGCCTCCACCCCTGCTACACATTTCACCAGCAACCCCCCACCCCACCTCTGCCCAAACCAACGCGGTGACGGTGTGGCCCTCATCTCCCAAACTTCCCTCGCTCTATCCCCCTATTCCTCCAGTTCCTTCCCCTCTTCTGAACATTTAACCCTGTATCAACCCTCCCTCATCTTCACAATCCTCTTTATTTACCAACAACAGCTTGAATTTATATAGCGCCCTTCACACGGATAACATCCTGGAGCGCTTAAATCATCCTCCAAAATCAATTGGTTCCTTCATCCCTGACATCAACTCCCTTCTTTCATCTTTCTGCCTCTGCAATGAACACCTGATTATAATGGGTGATTTCAATTTTCACCTAAACTCCCCTTGCCCCATCTCCTCTGACTTCAATTGCCCCATCTCTTCTGACTTGGGTAGGACAAGTTTGCAGGGCTATGGGGAGAGAGCAGGGGAGTGGGATTGAACTGAATAGCTCTTTTCAAAGAGACACAGACACGATGGGCCGAATGGCCTCCTTCTGTGCTGTATGATTCTATCATTCACTGCCCTCCTCTCCGCACTACACTTCACCCTCCACATAAATTCTGTAACCCACCCCCTCGACCTCGTTATCTCTCACGGCCTTGACATCCATCATAGACAAGGCCATCTCTGACTATTTCCTCATCTCCGTTTCCTCCCACATCCCCTCTTCCAAACCCTCCACCATTGTACTGCAAACCTACATTTTTTCACTTTATCGATAAACTAAACATGAAGAAATAGCACTTAATTGATTATTGCAAAAAAAATTATTTTCTTTAACAAAAAATGGATGGCTCAATTGGGCGGGATGGGGGGGGGTGCGACGGAAGATGCCCAAAGGGCCAAATGGTCAGTTTCCATGCCACACTGGAGCAGAGAGCCCAGGAGCGCGAGGAGGGAACCGAGTGAGGAGGAACCGAGTGAGAATTCTGTTTGGGAATTAGGTGAGAGTGGGAATTCTGTGTAGAGGGTGAATTCGGTGTAGGTGAGAACTTGTAAAGGAGAAACAAAAACCCCCAAGAGCCTGCACAAAAGGTCACATTCCTGTGGCGGTAGGTGTTGAGTAGACATTTAGTGTATAAGGAGTGTGAGCAAGGGAATAAAATAAATGAAGTTATTTGTTTTTACCCCAAAACTGTTGAGATATATTACAAAACATGTCTAAAAACCTGGCAGGGCAGCTGAGACCCATCATGCACACTGTATGCCATATGGGAACTCCAGGATGGTTCATGTGTTCTGGACAAATGTGTGTAGGAAGTGCCACTGGCTTGAGGGTCGCTGAGCTTGAGAAGAGGCTACAGTCACTACATAGGATACAGGAGGCTGAAGAATTTATGGATCAAACTTTACAGGAGATGGTCACCCCACAGCCACAGAGAGATCAGGAGGTGGTCACCCCACAGCCACAGAGAGATCAGGAGGTGGTCAACCCACAGCCACAGAGAGATCAGGAGGTGGTCACCCCACAGTCACAGAGAGATCAGGAGGTGGTCACCCCACAGCCACAGAGAGATCAGGAGGTTGTCACCCCACAGTCACAGAGAGATCAGGAGGTGGTCACCCCACAGCCACAGAGAGATCAGGAGGTGGTCACTCCACAGCCACAGAGAGATCAGGAGGTGGTCACCCCAGCTACACAGAGGGCTCAGAAGAAGGGTGAGTGGGTGACCATCCGATGTGGAGCAAAAAAAAAACAGGCAGTACAGAAATCCCCTAAGTGTGTGGCATTCACAAACCGGTTCTCGGTACTGGATACCAGTGAGGAAGCCTCTGGCGACAAGAGTCAAAAGGTAATGGATGTTCAGGGGGACAAGGAGAAAAATGCCAACGCAGTTGTTATCGGGGATACAACAGTTAAAGGGATAGACAGGCGTTTCTGCCATAAAAGACAGG